ATTTGAACATTTCTTTTTCTTCTCACTTAAAGGTCGGCCCGGCATGGCCAAGTGGTCAGGGCACTCGACTTCTAATTTGCGGGTCACAGGTTCAAATCCCCGTCAAATCAACTATGCTCGCCCTTTCAGCCGTGGGGGCGTTATAACGTGACGGTCAATCCCACTATTCGTTGGTAAAAGAGTAACCCAAGAGTTGGCGGTGGGTGATGATGACTAGTTACCTTCCCTTTAGTCTTACACTGCTAAATTATGGGCGGCTAGCGCAGATAGCCCTCGTGTAGCTTTGCGCGAAATCCATAACAAACAAACTTAAATGTGAAGTGGTTCACACTGTACTGGCGAAAGAGAGAACCAACAAAGGTTTATTGTTCACATTTTCTTGCCAGTTCAACACACCCACAGCGAACACTTACCTTTCTTTGGTTTCTGTGTATTGTTTGTCTCTGATTGTGTTTTTGTGAATAAACATTGTTTTAGATATTGAAAAACTCATTCACAGTTCTGAAAGTGCATGGTATCTTTCAAACCTCCAGTCAGCGGGCTCTGACTGCCTTGCGGGAAATTAGTGCACCGAAGTTATACCACAATGTCAGTTAAACTTCACATTTGTTTTGATTATCAGTTCATTGAGCTTTTAAGCTTGGAGTTTGTGGTAGTAGATTGGTGAAGTTTTGTAAGAAAAGTTCTACAAGCAATATACTTATAATCAAATTCGGGGAATACAATTTTTACATTTACTAGTACATGTATCAAATATATGTTAAAAGAATATTGAGAATGACCATATTCTCAATATATAATGTTTACTCAAAGGAAATTCAATAATTGAATATTTAGAGTAGTAGGTGGGTTGGATATATGCACTGCTTAAGTTTGATGCAAGTATTATGACTTCGATGGTTTAAATATAGCGCGAGTGTTAAATTTATTTTTAGAAGTGATTGTTTATTGTAGGTTTGTTTGCATAACTGTTTTCGAATCATGCGTTATGTAGTTCAGTTGTTGTAGATTGGCGATTGTTGTATTATTGCGACATGTTACTAGAACCCTCTACGTTTTCTCGTCGTTTTAATTAGATATTATTGCATTATAATATCTCGTAGTGAGTGGAACGTTTCAGGCCTCTGTCGGGCTATGAATACGCATTAAAAGACGTAGTTCGTTAAATAGATTGATTGATCTAGACCACATCATTGTGAGTTTATTCATAAAGAGCGTATAGTGGCAATTTCTAAAGTGAAAGTATCACAGATTGTATTGTAATAACAGAGTAAAGAAGAAATTATTTATCTTGTCAATTGTGTTCTAAAGTAAATGAACCAGCCTGTGTGGACTTTGACGAAAAAGGGACAATTATTTAAAGCTCTGTGTACAAATTTGGTAACCAACAGTTATAGTGGTAATTTTAAAGTGAAATTATCACAAAATGTATTGTAATAACAGAGAAGGAAGAATAATTCGTCTTGTCAAATTGTATTCTAAAGTAAGTGAACCAACCTGTGTGGACTTTGACGAAAAAAAAAACTATATTTAAAGCTCTGGATACAACTGTGATAACTAACAGTGTAACAAACATTTGTAAATGTGTTTAACTTGTTTTAATATATTATGTTAAAACAAGTGGACTGTGTGCTATTTGTTTATTGCTTGAAATTTATAGCCAACAAATCACAGACACCTACTGTAAATAATCTGGCCCACGCACACCTAAAACATGACAAGGTCTAATAATACAACACAAGAATACTGATAACAATTTTAATCATGCAATTCTCCAGGGAAAACATAGTGTATAAAAAACAGCATTGAAACGAGGTATTTCGTTCAATGCCATAGGTCTTCATCTCCTAGAACCTTGTTTCACTAGCCTAGATGTACACTATTGACTTATCATTTGAAACTTGAATTTTTAATACTAATATATTATATCGTTCTATGTCCTTAATAGTTGCCATACCTGTATTAGCCGTCACCAAAAGAAGTAACAATTCTTCTAACACACGATCACAAATTCAAATTAAAGGAAATGCGTATCATAAAATAAGCAAATCGGTACTTTATACATTAATAAAAATTTTGGGTTACACAAATAAAGTTCAGAAATTTAATTTGATTACCTCCCCGCAGAAGGCGAGGTATTTCTGCTTTAGAATTGATCATTAACTGTTTTGCTGGTGCAATGTAGCTTTGTATATACTTGGTTATGTTTGTGAAGTTGCTTTCTTTTTAACATTAAAAAAAATTAGAAAAGTCTGTAGGCGACACCGAACAGTCGTTGTACCTCTGTTTTTTTAAATGGTGCTCTCGGTGCTTTAGGGACGTTTGTATATTCTTGGTTAGCGTGCCTAGACTGTGAATCCGACAATTCATGGTTCATATCCCATTTCTTCGAAAACGTGCTCCCCTCTATGGGGCTGTTAGTGAGGTATAAGATTGTCAGTGAAATACAACTATTATGTTGAATAAGAGTAGTGCACAAGTTGGCGGTAGGTGTTGTTGGCTATATGCCTTCCTTCAAAAACT